TGAAGCTTGGCAAAAGTTGCTCTTTGGGATTGGCTGCCGCGGTGCAGCGCCAGGACTCTCGGAATAAATAAAAGCGGGTTGGAGGGAGCCGCGGCCGGCGCGACTCCCGGGGAGGGGGAGGATTTGCAAGACCGCAGATGAGGCTTGGACGCCCGTGGCCGTGCTGGGCTCCGCGCCGCCGCTCGGACTGGTCCGAATAACCCTGCTGGTGCTGGTGGAGAGACAGAGGGAGCAGGGGAGGAGGGAGATGGGGGAGACGAGGAATCCTGCCAGGAGCCCGGAGGAGCAGCGCTAGGCAGAGCCCGATCCCGGGGTTTTCCGGGGAAGGAGGAGGAGGAGGAGGGGGAGGCGCTGCGGAGCGGCTGGGGGGCGGGAGAGGCGGGAGGGAGGGCGCTCGCCTTCCCCCGGCGGAGATGGTGCTGCTGTCCCTCGTCGCCTGGCTGTGGCTGGCGGAGGGCGCCCAGGCGCAGCTCCGCTACACGGTGCAGGAGGAGCAGGAGCATGGCACGTTCGTGGGGAATATCGCGGAGGACCTGGGCTTGGACGTTACAAAACTTTCGGCGCGGCGCTTCCAGGCGGCGCCCAACTCGCGGAGCCCCTACCTGGCGCTGGACCTGGAGACGGGCGTGCTGTCGGTGAGCGAGAAGATGGACCGGGAGCAGATCTGCAAGCAGAGCCCGGCCTGCCTCCTGCACCTCGAGGTCTTCCTGGAGAACCCGCTGGAGCTGTTCCGCGTGGAGGTGGAGGTGCTGGACATCAACGACAACCCCCCCGCCTTCCCCGAGCCGGACCTGACGGTGGAGATCTCGGAGAGCGCCACGCCGGGCACGCGGCTGCCGCTGGAGAGCGCCTTCGACCCGGACGTGGGCACCAACGCGCTGCGCACCTACGAGCTCACCCCCAACGCCTACTTCTCGCTGGACGTGCAGACGCAGCCGGGCGACGGGAGCCGCTTCGCGGAGCTGGTGCTGCAGCAGGCGCTGGACCGCGAGCAGCAGGCGCTGCACCGCTACGTGCTCACGGCGGGGGGCGGCGGGCAGCCGCAGGCGCGGACGGGCACGGCGCTGCTGAGCGTGCGGGTGTTGGACTCCAACGACAACGTGCCCGCCTTCGAGCAGGCCGTGTACGCCGTGGCGCTGGCCGAGAACTCGCCGCCCGGCACGCTGGTGCTGCAGCTCAACGCCAGCGACCCCGACGAGGGCGCCGACGGGGAGGTGCTCTACTCCTTCAGCAGCCACATCTCAGCCCGCGCGCGGGAGGTCTTCGGCCTGGCGCCGCGCACGGGCCGCCTGGAGGTGGCGGGCGAGCTGGACTACGAGGAGAGCAGCGCCTACCAGGTGTACGTGCAGGCCAAGGACCTGGGCCCCAACGCCGTGCCGGCGCACTGCAAGGTGCTGGTGCGCCTGCTGGACGCCAACGACAACGCGCCCGAGATCAGCTTCTCCACCGTGAAGGAGGCGGTGAGCGAGGCGGCGGCGCCGGGCACCGTGGTGGCGCTCTTCAGCGTCTCAGACCGCGACTCGGCGGAGAACGGCGAGGTGCGCTGCGAGCTGGTGCAGGCGGGCGCCGCGCCCTTCCGCCTCAAGAGCTCCTTCAAGAACTACTACACCATCGTGACCGAGGGCGCGCTGGACCGCGAGCAGCCCGGCGGCGACGCCTACACGCTGACCGTGGTGGCCCGCCCCGCCGCTCAGCGCCACGCACAGCATCCAGGTGCGGGTGAGCGACGTGAACGACAACGCGCCGCGCTTCTCGCAGGCCCGCTACCGCGTGCAGGTGAGCGAGAACAACGTGCCCGGCGCCTACATCTTCGCCGTCAGCGCCACGGACCGCGACGCCGGCGCCAACGCCCGCCTGGCCTACGCCATCCTGGACGGGCAAATCCAGGGCATGTCCGTCTTCACCTACGTGTCCATCAACGCCGAGAACGGCTTCCTCTACGCCCTGCGCTCCTTCGACTACGAGCAGCTCAAGGAGTTCAGCTTCCAGGTGCAGGCCCG